ATACACCTTTCTTTAGGGTCAAAATCAACACTGGTGAGGTGTTTGATGGTCTGCCAGTCATGTGATGAAGACAAGGTGTTGAAGCAAAACTGCATGTTGCTGGTAGGGATGATTTATGGAAAGCCCTAGTTATGCACATTGGCGGGTTGATCGATCAAGGTCACAGAGGGAAGTTGATTCGTGGTAAGGCCTGGTAAGGTGTACTGGTGGGTTGGTTGCTGAGGTTATGATGGTGGCTGTGAGGGAGGCCAAGAGTGGTTAATGAAGCTATGAATCTGACTTTGCCAATACAAGGGTGTGAGCATGACAAGTTGTGATGATACTGAAAATACAAGTGAGAAGAGTCAGGAGAAGTCACAAATCTGACTTTACCAATACGGAGTATGCAAGCATGAAGAGTTGCGAGGAAACCACTTTGTCAATACAGTGAACATGAATGTGAAGAGTTGGGATGTCAGAATTAACTCCTCCTTAATTTCCTAATTTTTGAAACCGCTACTTGGGGACGCTCTCAATTGACTATATGTACTTGGCGGGACGTTGTCTTGTTCTCTTTTCATTTCATTTTTCATTACACACACATGTATGTACAAACATTCACATTCACTTACACATACTTTGACCACAAACATTCTACATTCATTCATACACACTAATTATCATCTTTGTCAGTTGTAACCTTTATTGTCTGTTAATACACATATACCTGTTTATATATATATATATATATACTGGTCTTTGTTGTTTTCTTCTCTTTTCCTTTTACATTTTTGTTGGTGGGCTCATACTACGGGAGAGTCCACCATGTTTGTAGTGGGCTATTTCAGGAGACGCATATGTTTGTCTCACAATGTATACAAATGGCCCACTACAGGGAGAAGTCACAAATCTGGCTTTGCTGACACTAAGGATGTAAGCATGAATAGAATTCACAAATCTGATTTTGCCGATGCAGAGGATACAAGCATGAAGAGTTGGGAGAAGTCACAAATCTGATTTTGCCGATACAAGGGGTGCATTGGTGGATTGGTAGCAGAATATCTCTGTTGGATTCTGGTCAAATAGGAGATCAATGAAAACAAGGTCACAGTAGCGATAACAAGAGAGGCTTGGAGCTGGGTGGTGAAGTCATCAAAGTGTTAGAAATCACAGTGTTAGCATTGAAGATGGCTTGTCGCCATATTCTGCATATGAAGAGTCAGGTGAAAAGGGAGGCAATCATGGCGGTAATGGCAACAGCACGTTTGGTCTTGACAGGTGGCCTTTTGGCCTGCTACTGTGTGTGTCATTTACAAGGGACTTTCTTTTATGCAAACCTGGTGGCCCCCAGGTCATTTTTTTTGGTGGGAACATTTATGATTGGCTATTTCATTTTATTGTGGGGTTTTGTTTTGTGGACTGGATGTGATGCTCAGAGACCTTGCACAGAAAATGACTTTTATTTTGCATTTTGCTTTCTTAGCATTCACATCCAGCCGACATGAACAGTAAATCTGAAAGAGATCTAATTACAGTGGAGTATAATAGGATTATAATCATTTTACGGAAAACATAAAAGCTTCTCATGGATGCCAGTGAATAATTAAGAAAGAACTCAAAGTGAATACAATCAATTAACCTTATCAATTCAATAATTCTTTACCAATTTTGCCCATTTTTTTAGTAATAGCAATTTGGTTGTTTTCATACATTTTCTTAAATTCAGAACAAATTTTAAAAAATCACATTGGATGCAATTACATATCTTATGGCATGAAATAATTAAGAAAATAATTAAAAAAATTAAAGTAAATAATTAAACTCAAAAGTAACATTTTACTAAAAAATATATAACTTCTAACGTATAAAAATTAAAATTATTTTACTAATTTTAAAAATGTATAGAATTAAAAAATTATATTCTTAAAACTATTGGTTAAAGATAATTTATTTCTACACATAAATACCAAATTATTGATTATTGTACTGCTGATGTTTGGTATTTTTAAAATTTTTGGCACATTTATGCATCAAAATATTTTGAAAATGCCTAAAAAAAACTTTTATATACAGAAAGTCATTTATCCTTTAATATGGATTAGCTTTTGTGGGCTAATAATAATAATTATCTTTTTTCAAATTAAACTAAAATTTAACTTTAAAAAAAGACATGTTTTAAATTATTTAAAATGTATTTTTGATTTTGTTTTTTTTTTTTTATTTAGAAATTCCATGGCAGTACCTCTTTAAATACGGACATTGTGCTATGGGATTTAAAAAGAAATGATTTGTGAATTTGGTAATGTACATGACAAAACTCATCCACATCCTAATGCGTGCAGCAGAATCAGCCCAGAGATAGGACAAGAACAGTGCAGGTTCATCAAAGACACTGGAACAAAGAATGCAATATTCAATGTTATCAGAAAGAGTGATACAGATGCAGGAGGACATGTACCTATGTTTCATAGACTAAAAAGGCCTTTGACAAAGTACGCCACAAGGATCTGATGGAACTGCTCAGCAAACTCAATATATTTGGGAAAGATATCAGAATAATCAAGAACCTATACTGGCAGCAAACAGCATGCATGTGTATAAGGAATGAGTTCAGTGAATATAAAAAAATAGAAAGGGGCATAAGGCAAGGATACGTCTTCTCACACAACCTGTTCAACCTATACAGTAAGGCAATCCTGAGAATTAGAAACCCTACTGGGATTTAGCATTGGCGGCCACACCCTTAACAACATAAGATACGCAGATGACACAGTACTGATAGCAGACACGGAAATGAAATTACAAAATCTCACTCTCTGTCACTACACTCTGTAGAATGTAGTGACAGAGAGTGAGAAGAAAGGACTAAGCATAAACTCCAAGAATACCAAGTGCATGGTCGTCAGTAAAAGGATGAGCCTGAAATGCGATCTGAAGGTCGGGAACATTAGAATCAAGCAGACGTGGAAGTTTAAATACCTGGGAAGCGTCTTGACAGTGGATGGTAAGTGCATCACTGAGATCTCTAGGTGTATTGGGATGGCCAAAGACATATTCCATAAGCTGAGCAGAGTACTGTGAGACAGGAGGATATCATTGGTAACAAAGAAAAAGACCAAGCATGTGAGCAATGATGAGATCTTAGAGAGGTTGCAAACAAGGAGGAGGCTTATACTTAATATCAGGAAGAGGCAGCTGAAGTTTCTGGGACACATGATGAGGAAGTGGGGTCTGGAGAATCTGATACTCACAGGTCAAATAACTGGAAAGAGAGACAAGGAAAAACTACGCGTGACATAGCTGGCGGACTTAAGCAAGTGGATGACAGAACGTGGTCTGAGGGAGGAAGAAGAGGGAAGGAACTCATTGAGAGCTGCAAGGGATAGAGAGAGGTGGAGAACCAAAATCGCCTACGTCCTGAAAGGATATGGCACATAAAAAGTAAGAATTACGGGTTCAATCCCTGGGCCAGGCAGTGTGTACTTGGATTCAGTGGGCAAGAAATACTAAATAAGAAATAGGCGAGATATGTCCCTAGACATGGGCAGGGGATGTTCGAAATTCCATGAAGTTTACCCGGGTCGACAAGCACCTGACGAAGAACTAGAGGATTCACCGGCCGAAACTTTGTAATAACGGTGTGAAAACAAAATAGTTATCTCTAACCGTATATTCGTACTTAGTTTTTTTTTTAACTCAATGGAAACTGATTTCTAAAACGTTAATAGATAATTATTGATTAGCTAAGAACTAAAGTAAGTGTGATGTAAAAATGATTTCTACATGATGAGCAATCTTTATTCATCTCATGACGCAATTTTTGACTAACACGGATATAAACTAAATGAGTAGTAGTAAAAGTAAATCTTACTTCGGTTTGTTTTGATTGCTTGGATGACATCATTAAAAACAAATGAAACAATTGACATTATACTCACTTTAACTAAAACTAAACAGTTTTAGTACACTGATTGTAAACTTCAAGTCATTACATGATAAAATTGCTTTATTGCTGTTAACTTTTCGTTAAAAACAATTGTAATTGTCGACTTAGTCTCCACCGCAACATGAATTATTTTAAAAGTCTTCTACAATTTCAGATAGTATTTTTACTACCGTTGCTTATAAATAGTATTTTGTATCATCTTAGCAAAAAACCATGTTTCTTACAAAATGTTAAGATTGGGAGTGTAAAGTAAGTATATATATTTTTTTGGTTTTAATTTTCTTTTCTTCCTAAAAGCTGGTACAGACGAGAAATAAGTATGGAAATCCAGAAAGTTATGATTCTTTTTTTTAATTAACCTTTTAAAAAATGCTAAATTAATTTTTCAAAATGTAGCTCATAAATTGAAAAGTTTTTTTTTATTATTTCAGAGAGTTAATACTAAGTTCATTTTTTATTTAAAATAAATTTGGATTTGTTTTGTTTTTTTTAATAGTTTTTTCTTACATCCTGTTTTTTGTTTCTTAGTTTTTGTAATGTTAAAATAAAAGAATTAGGAATGTTTTTAAAAAATACCAGTAATAATCTTGTAAATTAAATTTTCCAATTTTAAAAACTTTTCTTGTCAAAGAGTTGTTTTTTTTTTTTTTCAGAAATATATATAAATTTACTAATATGAGTTTTTACTTTTTCTCTTCTTAAAAAAATTAGTTGCTATTTCAATTTCATTCAAGTTCGACAAACATACTGACGTCAATAATTTTAAAAGAATAAGTTATTTTAATTTTTAAAATTATTACAGTTTTTTTTATTCCAGTGAAATATTTGTTATCGAAAATAAAAGATACTTTCGAAGATACAGGCATATGTCTCCATTTAAAACTTTTTGTTTTGTTAAATAAGTGCTCCGTTAACCAACGCAATAACTTTTTCCGGTTAAAAATAAAATTCTTCTTATAAAGATTCATTAGGCTTACTTTTTTTCTTGTATAATCACGTGTTTTATATGCTCCAACACGAGTCTATTAAGAAGAGCTGATGTCACCGTGACCAAGTCCTTCAAAAACCCCAGTCTATGAAAATAACATTTCTTTTTTTTTTTTTGAGAACCAGCTGTTTTTGATAAAAATTTAAATTTTATGATAGTACTTTATAATCAAAAATGCCAGGCTGCACCTTAATTCAAATTGTATATCCGGCATTATGATGATAATATTCAACACCACAGCTAAAAACACTATAGGCAAAATTGTTTAACAACCCTTGAGCTCTGACCACAGCTTTATCGGTGGTAGAGAAAAATGACTTAATGCCCAGCCACCAGTTGAACGGTGGGTAAACACTTGTGCCGTGTTTTGCTATTCTTGTGTATCAAGAGAGGCAGCACCTGCTGGGTAGACTGGGACACAAAGAAAGAATTCTGGCAATAAAGTGAAGTCATGCAATCATACTCTCTCCCTGTTAAGTATAATGCTTATATTTTTTGTAACTATTTTTATATCTACTGTGAAACATTACATTCTAGTTATTTGTGAATTTTGACTCAGGAGCTCAGGCAGAAGGGTTAAGTGTTCAGAAATGCAGGGCTCAAAGGATTAAGCAACTCCAAACAAAAGTTAAATTTCCAAAACAATTTATTTTTAACGAGCAAAACATAATAAATATTTGAATGGTTCAAAATTACTGGCACTTCTACGTCATTCAATGAGTAAATCAATCAATAGTGTATCCTTTACATTTAATAACTTCATTCAATCTGCAATGGTACTTTTCAATTAGCTTCAATCACAGACCAGAAGGAATTTTGGCCCATTGTTCAATCACATATTATTCCAGCTACTTTAAATTAGACGGCTTTCTTGCTTTCACTCATTATAGTAGGGATGGTATTCTTCAGACTGTAGGTTTCTCCTTTTTCTGCCAAATGGTAGTCCTATCATTGGGACCAAATAATTCGAGTTTGGTTACATCAGACAACAGAAGAGAGTGCCAAAAACTTTCAGTCTTCTTCAGAAAGTCTCTTGCAAACTTCAAATGAGCAGTTCTTCTTCAACTTCTTCCAGGGATGGCACACCTTTAAACCAAGTAATCAAGTAATTGTTAATCTTGAAGCATGAACTCCAGTAACTGTCAAATTGGCTTTTATCATTGCAGTTATCTTAGGATCATGGTTGACCATTCTAATTAACATCCACTCATCCACATTCTGGAAAGAGCTTTCTACCGTGTCCACTCTTCTTCAACAACAAACTGATATCCCAATACTTCATGATTATATTACAGACAGTTGATTTAACCATATCAAAATTTTTAGATATTGTCTTATACCCATTTCCAGCAGTGTGAACATCAACATTCTAATAAGTCAAGTCAAAACTGTGCTGCTGCAGACTCACCATAATGTTGCAGATAGAATAGTTTGTACAAGTGATGTCACTTAGTCTTGCTATGCATTATTCTAGAGGTTTCTGTCTTTTAAAACATTCTAAGGATGCCATAACCTATTATTCAACATATATTCTTACATTGTAGCCCAAAATAAGTGTTTTTTGCAATGCAATAATTAAATTCTTATGTAGGTGCCAGTAATTTTGAAACATGCTTGAAATTTTTATTCACTGATATTACCATATTAAACATTGCCAAATGTCTTCCTTTGCAAAATTGGTGTTTTGGTCATTCACATTATTATAACATAGGGATATTTTCATAGATATCCAGTTTTAGCAAGAATTTCAATAAAAAACAATTTTTGACAATAGGTGCCAATAATTGGGTCAATGAGTGTATTTGTTAAATCCCTGACTAATATCTTATAAAATAATTGCAAATTTAACATCTTTTTACTTGTATGTGCTGCAAGCAATAGTGTTCTTTATTATAACTTTGAAAATAATCATTAATACACCCAACATTGTTTATATAATTCTTTATATAATTTCCACATGAAGAAATTCAATTGTTTGAACAGTGTCAGACATTATATAATTTGATGTTTTTATTCATAATTTCATCTTGTATAATTAGTAATTATAAAGAAGACTAAAATATGGAAAAAAACATATAATTATATAATAGTATTATATAATTTGATGTTTTTTTCCCATATTAATGCATAAAGTGGTGGGTTTTTACTTTAGTCCAATCAATCAAAGGAGTGATTCAGTTGATTGTTATTTTTATAAACATGTGATTCCAAATGGAATGTGGTGACATATTCTTTGTCATCATATTTAAAATGAAAATAACCTGTTTGTTACAAAAATTAACTATAATACTCTTGTGGAATAGTAGACGGAATTTTTAATTTTTTTTTTTAAAATTTCAAATGCAACTTCAGATGTTAACATAAAGAGGGAGATTAATTGAAAAATATATTTCAATTGGTGTTTGTATATATTATTTTCTTGAGCTTTGTATTAATAAATTCTTAAGCATCTGGTCTAATAATTAGCACAGAAGAAATCTGTTTTCTACTTTGACATCCAGAAGTTGTGATCAAGGTATTTTCAGTGGCTACCCTAATGACATTTTCACTGTTGCTCTGATGCATAATGTAATAGTGTTTGGTTGTTCAGAGAGATTTGAATGTAATGTGACAAGCATGAAATACCATTACTCACTTCCACTGGATTGATAATGACCTCAGACCTTGTAGTCTAATTTATGAGTACTTTGCAAGATCAAAAGTGGATACTAATGTTAACTAGAGAAAGTGCATTAATCCTTTTGTTTTCTATGGTTTCCTCACCAAGCACTATTCACCTCTGTCATTCCCACTAAACTCCTAAACTAACCAAGAGACAATATTAATATTATTATTATTTCCATGATATGCACCAACTGCTCTAGTTACTACATAACATCACTATACATCCAGCATAAATAAACTTGTTTGCCAAGCTTCTTTTCTGTAAGATCTCTATATTGCCAAACTATAAAGGAAAGATTAGTAGTAAAATAGCATGAGCTTGTTTAATTAAATCTACATCAACCAACCCACAAATCTGACAAGCTCAAAAATTATACTGAACCAGGTTATTTTCCCTTTTGTAGAAGTTTGGAGAAATGCTCACCACTACAGGAGGAACAATACATGTTCACACAATGAACAATGGCAATGTTGTTATACCTGTTTTAGTCAATACTTAAATATCTGCTTATTTTTCCCTATGTTATTTTAAGATATTGTGACTCTTTTCTCATGTAGAAAAAACATTAAATAGGACACCAGCCAATTCCTCTTTAGATTTTTCACTGGCTTATAGATGAAAATTGATATACATACATATCTTTCCTTATCATTTCTGGTTATGTATGCCTCAGTTCCAAATCAAAGATATTTCCACAGTCTTATATACTTCTCTAACTTCTGCAGAAATAACTTCTACCTATATATAAATTCTTATATGGACTAGGACAAAATAACCTTGACAATAGCTCTTCATAGGTGGTATGTGGTATTCACAACTAGTGTGTTGGCAATCAGCTCTATATTTTCCATTTTCTATTCACTGTCTTATAAAAAATTCATTTTCTGAAAAACCAATTGTTCAGAGAAAGCTCTTAAGTTTCTTGGACATTGTAATATAAATTACCGCAAAAAGGCACACAGCAGTCCACTTCAGCAGTAAATACCTCAAATGAATATTACCACACCTTTTGTAAATCCAACTTATCTTTCTCTTACAAAATTTATTTTGCCACCTGAAAACTCTGTAAGGGTGATTTCTCTTTACTTGTCAGGTAGCTTTAATCTGAAAGTGAACAGCAGTTTCTGTCAACACTTATATATACCATCTTCTCAAACTCTTTATCAGTTCTTTCTGAATGATTGGGATAATCTATCCTCTACTCCAATCAGAATCATATATATATATATATATATATATATATATAAATAAAAAGAAAGAACAGCAAGATATATAATCCGGTGTTCTTATAGATATTTTTATTTTTACAAAATAGTGCTCAATGTAAATTTACAGAGCATTAATATTATAAATTAATTGATTTAAAATATGTTTTTTTTTTTTACACAGTTCTAACCATGTTTCAAAAATGGAAGCTAAAAGCCACAAATTTAATTTTGTGATTAAATTAAAGACATTAGTTCCATTTCATCCTCAAGCGAATTTTGGAGTAACTTTTTAAAATTACTGGGTTTTAAATACACAGCTAAAACAAAATTCATGTTTCCAAGGTTACAGATAAATCTATTTTTCTAGACAGGGGTGGCTGGGTTTTCAATATGTCTACAATTTAATGTATCAGTTATTGCTACGTTTTGGTCATGGGAAGGGATGCATTTTTCAATGAAATCTAACTTCCATTAAAGCCTGTCGTTTAGATTTTTTAAAATTATATTGTTAACGGCTAAAATTCTTACAGCCTTTTTTTTTTTCCGTATATTTAAAGTATATTACGATCTTTAAAATTTTATATTTAAATATTACTAAAGTAAAATTTACCTCTGTGACCTTGATCGATCAACCCGCCAATGTGCATTACTAGGGCTTTCCATAAATCATCCCTACCAGCAACATGCAGTTTTGCTTCAACACCTTGTCTTCATCACATGACTGGCAGACCATCAAACACCTCACCAGTGTTGATTTTGACCCTAAAGAAAGGTGTATATCAATCCCTGCCAACGACACTCTACTTATCTACTCCAGGCCACTCTCCATACACCTAATTGCTTTCCTTACCACCAGCAACTGAAAAACTACGTAATTTATGCCACCTTTCAAGCAACTAGGTATATATTAATATATAATATTAACTAAACAATAATCTTTGTCAATTTTATTTTTCAGTCTTTATGATGGTCAATACTTGATCTATCTCTTACTGTTACATCTCCGGGCAACGCCAGGCTCTACTGCTAGTACATACATACAACAATCTGTTTTTAGTTAACAGTTAATGTTTCAACCTTGAAAATGGCTAAATGTATAGACAAAAGCGCTTGGATAAAAACAACATTTGGACAGTTTTTATATAATTTATCTACTGAAAAGAAAAAAATTATAAGATCATATGAAAAATTATTTAAAAAATCGAATCAAAGCACCTTGTCTGTCATATTTAATGAAACTTGCATGAAAAGGATTACTGCCTAAATACACTATATATATATATATATATATATATATATATATATATATATATAAAATCCAGCTCATTACTGAGCATGACTCTTTTTTGCTTATTTATTTTGTGTCTAGAAATATTGCCAGAGATATAGTGAATCATTGTTTGGATGGTATGGACCTGGCATGTCTATGAAGATGAATCTGACACTCTGAAAGAAATTTGCATATATCTTGACCACTGCCAGATGAAACAGATATAATTTCTGGCTAAGTGCCAGTAGCTTGTTGGATTTTCATGTGATGTTTTAAATCACCTGAGCTCTTGATAAGCTTACCATATTCCAGAAACAAGGTAATTGTTTTCAGCAAGATAATGAATTCTGAGTTTATATATAAAGTTTTTCTTTATGCAAAGAAGACCTTCCAGGAAAAACCTGATGTTTTGTTCATTTGGTCAGATTGCAGGAAGTGGGTTCAGAATTTTTCAGCACCACACTTATAAAAGTTTGATTTTCTGTTATTATTCAGTATGCTATAAACTTGAAAAGTATTCAATTACCTGGTCTGCTATTGCATGCAGGCAATATTGATGGAAGCTTCTGCCACTTGTGTATAAATATGGGTGATGGCAGATAAATATGATGATTGATATATAGATACTAATTTTATTATTACTCAGTTATCAGTTTTTGCTTCAACAATTCCAAATTAGTTGTTAAATAAAACCAGAAAGCTCATGACCCTATACCATCTTTACTTAAAACATTTTTATACATGAATAGAAGAGGATATAAGTATTGTGATTGTCGTGAGCAAGATACATGACATCATGCCCCAAAATGCCCACGCATTGCCTATGTATGGTGTTGCAGATCAGTTAGAGGAAGGGAGAATTGGTGGAGTGCACCTACACATATGTAAACTCTCCTACACAACCAATCGGCTGCTTCATCATGGTCTATAAAATAAGTATGTCTGAAGGCATTGGCAGTGGGGGCCAAGGGAGCCAACAAGGACACTGCCCTGTTCCAGCGGGTCCTTTTTGGCATGACAGCTACAAGCTATTTCGGCAATTATGGCTTTTGATCCTAAACTGATACCACTATTTGATGGAAGTGATTCTGGACAGTCAGTTATTGAGTGGATAGAGAAGGCAGAATTGATATTCCAGCTTAGCGGCGTAAAGTGTATTGAATGTGTGGTTCCTATGCGTCTATTGGGTTGTGCATATGCAGTGTACCAGCAGCTGAGTGAAGAAAAGGAGAAAGACTTTACCTGCATCAAAAATGCTTTGTATACAGCATTTGCTCTGGACTCTGTTACAGCTTGGAAGCAATCTGTAGCATGTTGCTTGTGCCCAGGTGAGACTGTTGATGTCTTTTTGGCCAAATTGTGTAAACTTTCAGTTCTGGTCAATGGTATGATGGATAGAAGTTTGATATGTGCGTTTATCACCAGGTTGCCAGAGCCAGTTGCTGGAGCATTGCCGAGCCTCTTCCCAGTTAGATGATATGGACATTTCACAAGTGCTAGCTTGAGCACACGCCATACTGAAGAAAAGTCCTGCAGATATTGAGCAAGTGGCAGTAGCTGCACAATCATCACATTGTCAGGTGAAGGAAGTTGATGTGCACCTACACATATGTAAAACTCTCCCACTCAACCAAATGGCTGCTTCATCATGGTCTATAAAATAAGTGTCTCTGAAGGCTTTGACTGTTGGGGCCGAGGGAGCCAATGAGGATGGTGAGAGACGACTGCCTTGTTCCAGCAGGTCCTTTTTGTCATAACAGCTACAAGTATATACAGAAAAGGACCAATGAGTTAAAACCAAGACAGATGGGTGTCATGAAAGGAGGTTGCATGTAATCAGTAGCATACCTTCAGCTTGGTTGAACAGTTTCAAAATTAAGTTCTAAATAAGATTTGACTTGAAGTAAAATATTTGTTTCCCATTATTTCTTACCTTTGTACATTTATATATTCCTTTGTTCCACCAGTTCTTACTTTCAAAGCTAAGACCCACCATGCCATGCAAATTGTAGCAAACCACCCTTTTTTCCCCATCAGTGAGATGTAAGTTCCACTCTAGTCGCTTTTTCCTATGAACTGACTCCCAATAGGATGCTTCCCAAATCACTACAATCTTCACCTGTTCAAGTTTAGGGTTAACTGTTATCTTCCTTACATAACTCGATAAACTATGCCTCTTACTTTGTAACCCAGTACCTCGAGTGGCTCTCGAGGCTTGTACAGGATGAACATCATTGTAACATACACACACACATATATATATATATATATATATATATATATATATAAAAAAATTCTTAACCTTGACCCACTTTGCAAAATCTGACTAAACATCAAAATTCTTTTTAACCTTTTTGTGTTTGACTAGGAACATTTCAGCACCCACTCATAAAAGGGTAGACATGACAACATTCCATCACTCTTTTCTTAATTTCTAATGTTATTCTTGGATCCCTTAGTCAATTTCTGAAAATCACCTTTTGCAATACCTATGTACCTTCAATGTGAATTCTGTTATCTGCTCATTTCTACAACTGACTTACCACATTTGTAATTAACAATTTGCACTATCCCTTTTGCTCATACTCAGGCATTCTGTCTTGGTTCAAACTATTGTATTCTCAAGTTTATGAATGTTACCAAACACAAGGCAATGTCATGGCTAAACTTCTTAAAAAAAAAATTGAAAAAAAGTTTCCTTGAAAATGCTTATAAGTCAGTGAAATACAAGCAGATGTGCGAGACATTGATATAAAACTGTATTTTTGTAAAATTTAATCTATAAATATATTGCATTGGCTGAAAGTTTTGTTGAAAGAGTGTTTAATTTTAAGCTGAGTTCTAACAATCCTGGAGAAATTTAAGAGCTTTAGTATTTCTTTTTATACAGTTAGTCATTGCTAAAAGAAGATCAAACACTTACAAAATGGTAATGAATGCAATTTTATTGCCAAAGATAAACTGTGGAGGTCTAACTTTAGTTTAATTATTATAGAAATTACAGGTATATGAAATATCACAAAGTTAAAGTGTAAATACTTGATAAATAATTATTAGTACCAATCTTAACAAATTTAAAAAAAGAAAAGCTGAAGAAAGGTAAAGCTGAAACTGTCATCCAAGTTACACAGAAGAGGTGTCTGCAAAGTAAGAACAGGACTAAGGACTGTGTGTACAACATCCTGTGCAGTTGTGGTAAGAAATATAAAGGAGAAACAGGCTACCCCCTTAAGATAAGACTGCAAGATTAAAAAAAATATTAACAGAAATAGATTTTTGACAAAACAAATGTATTATCAGGAAAAAAATTAAATGACCCATTGAGGTTGATGTGCTGTAAAACAAACCAAACCAAACCAAACCAAGTATCCTTTCAGCATCCCTTTTTTCTTCATCAGCAAACACACATTTTAGTTTGATAAAGTCTTATAGTATGAAACTTTTCCACTTTGTCATAGTTTTTTCCCTTATATTGTTCTTGATATATAAAAATTTATATATTGTTTTCCTATATATATATATATATATATATATGTATATATATATTTAAATAAAACATTTCTTTAAGTCCCTTTCTTCTTTTTTTTAGAAAATTTTTACATTCATTTTCGTATTTTTTAGGACTTATAAATCGCCCACATGAATACCTCGACCCAAAATATCTTCCAAAAGAATGGGACTGGAGAAATGTTGATGGTATTAATTATGCTAGTACAACCCGTAACCAGCATATTCCTCAATGTAAGTTTGTTAAAAAGATGTATTTTTAGAAATATTATAAACATTCAAGATACATGCAATTATTTTTTGCTTTATACATTAATTTTTCTTAAAATGTTCTTTATTTTATTGTAAGCAACAATATAGTTTTCACTTTTTAAACCATTTTTATTTGATTCACCTGTATTCTTTGATAAAACTTTTTGATCACTTTATTGAATGAAAAGGATTGAATTTTCATCTTATATTACCAAAATGGTTAAAATTTATTTTGTTATAAATTAAAAAATTATATGAAAACTGTATTATGCAAAGAAAATTCTCAAGATTTCTATAATTCCTCTGATGAAAACACTTTTACATATTTTATGTTATAATTTTCAATGAGATTCCAATCAAGAGAATTACTTTTTAGCTTTTACCAACCATTTTTACATTATTTGCACAGATACTATAACTGTCACATTTGGAAATACAACCATTTTGCATATTCAATTATATTGAAAATAAAAAATTATTTTTATCTATATATGTTGATATTGCTAAAATGCTTCAAGAATATCTAAAGAAAGACATTCCCGCACAATTATATTTTTATTTACATGCTTAATTGTGAGGATATTGTTTCTTGGATCTTCTGTGCAACCATCTTTTCTTCACATGAAAAGCTGGTTTTAGCTTTATCTGATTAAAGAATATTAATAATTCATGTAAAAACTTTGCTTTTTTTCCTATTTGAATTTTCTGATGAATTTTAATTCTTAAGTTAATAAATGAATAAGCTCCTTGCGAATTCTACAACTATAAAATACTCCTGGAAATTTCCCTGTTGCACTGTTACATATTTGAGCTTACAAACTTTAACAAAATATTGCGATAACAATCATAAGTATTGTTATAAGGCTGCAAAGAAAAAGAACAAACAAGGATTAAATTTTCAGTGTGTATTCATCAAATATGTATAAGGTGTTGAAGGGTGGTGACAGCAAGTGGTGATCATGGCAGTGATGGCAACAGCATGCTGACAGGTGGCCTTTTGGCACGCAACTGTTATTTGTGAGGAGGGGCTTTCTATTAAGCAAATCTGGTAGTCCCCAGGGTCATTTTTTTTTTGTGAAACAGATGTAATGCTCAGATTCCTTGCACAGAAAACAACTTTTTTTTATTTTGCATTTTACTTTCTTGGCACTCACATCCAGCCAACATATAGAGTGAATCAGAATTGCAATAGAGTATAACAATATGAATGCCAGTCATTATTTAAAATAAGAGAGTACAAATGAAAAATTTCAAAGTTGACAAGGTTTTCCATTTCACTGAAGTAGACATTTAAACACATGAGAGCGTTATCACCTCCTCCATTTTCTCTTTTTTTTATTTCCTCACTGAAACCAAAAGTATTGTCTGTTTATATTTCTGAGATTTGGTATTGTAACTATTTACACTGTTCAGACTGTTGTCCTTATCTTTATTGTCATATTCACAATGTTTCAGCCATTGTATGCATTCTTCAGCTGATATAGGTTCCAGTGACTTAACCCAAAAAGTTATGAGTTCAATACCTGGCAAAAGTAGAGGCTAACAAAAAATTGGAGAGCTTGAGTTACTAATGGGGAATAATTGAAACTGAGATATCCAGAAAAAGCATGGCATGTGGAACTAGAACAATCTACCCCAGTGGATTCAGTTCAAAAATCTAATATATACCACTTGAAGATAGCTAGAGTGTACAACAGCCAAAACGTCATGAATATGACAGTAAAGATGAGGACAACAGTTAGAACAATATAAATAATGTAAATACCAAGTATCTTCTGTGATATGTCTTTTCTGTCTTTCCACCCAATCAAAACAAAATAGTTCATTATTTATTAGATATTGGCAAGGCATGACATACATGTTAACTAAGGAACAAGTAGAATTCTAATAGGAGTCTTCCAAAAGTTACTCAACTTCTCCAAGAAATTGTGTACAAACCTTAATCCATCTTCCTGTGTTTCATCATTAAATAAGACTTAGATTTTTTTTCTCATTGATATATTTTATTTGGAACACCACTTGGAGGAAAGTCCCTGATGATTCCAAATGTCTTTCATTTTTGTTCACTCAGCAAAGTTCTTAGTAATTTTCTAGTTGCTCAAACTCTCAGAATGTTGTTTAATTATTTGCTTGTTTTTTTTTGTGGGGGTGTTAGTACATTAATATTGTAAAAAGTTACTGTATCTTTCCACATATGTCGACCTTTAGATAAGACAAGGTAAAAAGAAAAAAATTTCTATTTTCATTAATACAAATACAAATTTTCATTAATTTATCCAATACATGTAGTATAAGACAACTGCTTATTGATTATATAAAGATGATGTTATTGGAAATGTTGTTACTTACTGTATCCTTAGAAATTCAAAATAAACAAAATAACAAAACTGATTCTATATCATGTTTTTCCACCTAAAGGGAAACCATTGTTTTATTAACGTTTTATCACATGATCTCTTGTGAATACTGATTCTTCTTCTTCTTCCTCTTCTTTTCCTATATCTGAACAGTTACAAACAGCCTGGTGTACTAATGGCCATTTACTTATACTTCACCGGCAGTCAAAAAATAATGCTAATAACAGTATCATAATATACGATAATAGTACATTCCATTGATGTGAACACAATTATAACTTGATGTTCACATTTTCTCAGCTGAGCTTGCATGAAGTTATGCCAGTAATATATAAGGTAGAAATGGTTTTATTACTTTTATTATCAGTTTATTTGATAATGTGAATCTTTTCATGTATATTATTGGCTATTGCACCAAGGTCAAGGTTAGCTTACCAACAAACATCGCTCAGAATTTAAAGTTTTTAGAATTGTAGTATAAGACAACCACCAATGTGATTTTTTTTTTTTTTTAGATTTAAAGGTTGTCTTATATGCAGAAATATATGGTGATTTGATTGAATCATACCTAAATGAAGTTATTGCTGGAACATTGTAAATCTTTCTATGAAGGTCTAGGAATATATTCATTTGCATAGTTACTAATCCTAGTAAGCTTTCCTCTTTGGTACCTCAACTATACAAATTTAAGCACAGTAATAGATTGACAGCTAGGTCTCATAATTTCAGTGTTGAAATTACTTGTTTATTCTAAGTTCTATGCTAATGGTTTCTTATCCTCCACTTCTTGCTTGTGGAACTCTCTTCCAGCTTCCTGCTTTCCTATCAACTACAATCTTCAAAAGTTTAAAGGCAATGTCAATCATGATCCCCTGTCTCCTTAAATCCTCTTCTTTTATTGTCCTTTCTGTTTCTTTTAATTTCATCTTTATCACCTTCCTCGGGGTGAAATGATTAAGGAAAAAATGCCTAAATAAATTTTTATTATTTCTCTCTATTCATATAAAATTTATTTTTTCTTCATATTACCAAATTTCACATCAAAATATAATTTATGTTGTGAAATTGAATAGCATAAAAAGTTATCAAATGTCCAACTATTTTCCCATCTCAAGAAAGATCTCAGAAACTGTGCATAAATATGTTTTCTTGGAAGTTAAAATTGAATGAAATAAATTCTGAGTCAAATTTGCTAATTTGTTATAAGTTTTTTTTTTTTTTTTCAAATAAAATGATATGGAAATGTTAAAATGTGCAAAATTATTGATGATGTCTGAATCATAAACGCTATCTTTGTTTTTTTTTTATTTTATCTCTGTTTTTAGATTGTGGCTCTTGCTGGGCTATGGGATCTACTAGTGCTATTGCTGACCGAATAAATATACTTCGTAAAGGTGCCTGGCCAACAGCTTACTTGTCTGTTCAAGAAGTAATTGACTGTTCAGATGCTGGAAGTTGTGAAGGAGGTGATGACTTAGGAGTTTACCGTCATGGACATAAACATGGCCTTACTGATGAGACATGTAACAACTACCAAGCTAAAAATCAAAGTAAGTTAATTTGCATATATTATCATAAAATCCATTAAAAAAGCAGCAAAAATCAAAAAGAGAGAAATTTGAGTGAATGGTTCTTATTTTATTCTTTTTGTATTATTCTTATATATTGGTCCAAAATAAATTTATAAATGCTAATTGATGCAATTAACCTTAAAGGATTTGTTAATCCTTATAAACATCTAAAAATTATTTCAGTTTCATATGTTTAGGTTTTATTAATATCTTATAAATAGTCTTTGGAACAATGAAAATTACCAAGGGAGTATACAGTAATCACGATGTCATGAAAACAAAACGTCTTTTTAACACATTCTTTTTTTTGTTGTTTAAAAATCGTACCTGCAAGAAACAGGTAGGATTGTTAAACTTTGCCAATAATAATTTATTTTATAACAGTTTAATTTCTTAATTAATAAAACTATATAAAACAACTGTAAAACAATTTCACATTTTATATATATTTATAAAATATCAGCTTAAAAAATAATTACACTTGTTTGTTTTATCACTTAATCAAAAATTAGTAATAAATCATGTTCGAAGCTTTGTTCGGACAATTGAATATCTTTGCATTGTTATTCCAACCAAACCATTCTTCATCTTTGTAAGGAAAGTGAAAAGACTGTCTTTATGAATTAATCCCTTCCCCGGTGTAGACATGTATATACCTTTTTACCGTATGTTTATTTTTCAGAACTGGATGAATAAACACGTCCAAAACATAACATTCAAAAACCAGTTACAGACGTGTCTATACATCAGTCTTGATTCTTTTTATGCCCTTCTGATCTTGAAACGAGTCCAATTGTCAATTCATATGTCTGGCACTTCAAGTTGCCTCAGTTCTTAGTTACTATATTAAAAACAATTAAAAAATTTGGCTGAAAATGAAACATTTTTTTCCAAAAATAATGCCTGGCAAGTCTACTAGGATGGCTAAGCAATCCCTATTACAGACACGTGCTTAGGCACATTTGTGTTCAACACCAACAGAGCCCACTTGTGATTTATACTGCAACTATACTAAGCAGACATTAATTACAGTTTCTGGGAAAGAGTGCATTACCTGGCATGATCAACAGTCTGAACAGGGCTCGGTCGCAATGACAGTTCCCATATAGTTCCGTCTAATCAATTTCAGTCACAAGGCTTGGGTTAACCCCTGGTATAGTTTTCAGGCACTTTCCAAAGGTGCCACGTACTAAGATCACCTCCCTAGACTGATAACATCAAGAAGTCACCTTCCTGACAAATTGACCATAGTCAGATTCAAACATGAGTCTCATGGTCGGAAAGCAAATGTTCTAACCGCTTGTCCACATACACATGGAATTAAGATATTGACAGGAAATAGATGTTACTATATGTCAACTAGACTGGTTCATTCAAACAAATTATGCACTTGAAGAAGGCTGTAGAATACATCAACTGAAAGATGGCAACAACAGCTACATGAAGGAGTTCAAATTTCCAAACAAAACTTGGATTATTAATGATTATTGTCAAAGTTATTGACAATATTAAATTAAATGACATTGTAAATTGCAGAAGCCAAAACAAATATGTTCATACAACATGATTTCATAAAATCTGGAGTGATTAATTGCTATATATAGAAAAAAAGAACTTCAGATTAAGAATTTCAAAGATTGTTTTATTTTTTTACATTTTAAGAAACCACATGGTATTAGCATATTTTGTTTTGGTTTCTGTAGTGGGGGGGGTCAATTTACATAGCAAACTGGACTGCACTCATTATGAGCAGAGACAAAGAGACGTCTGTTGCTCTGGTACAGCCAGAAGAAGTGATTCCTGTGGGCTATAGCAGCCGAGTAGGCAGATGAAAACCAAGGAGATGAATATAACATGAATGCTTCTTCACTAAAGATAATAATCAAAACAATAATTAATTGCATGATAGATTATTTGATTTTGTGTTTAAATCTTTTTCTTTTTTTTAATCTTTCATTGTTTTATATCCATGTTATTATTTGTATTTTACAGAATAAATCTTACTAAAGGAAAATTAGTTTTAGTTTACCTTTTCTAAACTAAGATTGATTTTATAATTTTTAAATATTTCCAATACAAATTTCATGCAAATAGTTCATTTATTTCAGAAATCAAGCATAAAACAAAGATGGAATGTAAGTTTTTAATTGAAAATTGTACACATTTTACCATTAATTTTTCTTTGAAATCAATGGGTTTGTCTAAATTATAAATAATCTTAGCTTTTGTATAAAATTCAGATTGTAAAAAAATGAATCAATGTGGAACATGTTACACATTTGGAGAGTGTTCTCCAATTAAGAATTATACAATATGGAAAATTGGTGATTTTGGACGGATATCAGGACGTGTAAAGATGATGGCAGAAATCTACAAGAAAGGACCTATCAGGTAATTACAGAAACTATAAATGTCTGCCTAAAACATATCTAAAAATAACTACAAAACAAAGAATTTAAAATTATTTGGGGGAATTTATTCATCATACTTTGTTGGTTATTTTTAGATTATGTGGAACCAATCATTTTATAGACTCAAGTTAGCAAGGAAAACAATTTGGATTTCAAATATTAAAATGAAAATATATTTCACTTTGATTTTAGTGTTTAATTTTTAGAATTAGCAATTAGATTTTAACTTGCATTTGATATGAAGATTAATTATAGGTACAGATCAGGAGTTCTAATTACAGGGTGCGATGGGTAAATTGTCACCATTTTATATTTTTAATTTTGTGTGTTGTTTGTTTTGATTTTGTCGACTGCACAGTATAATAGGTTCAGTTAGGCACAGTCTGTGAAAAGAAGAGCACAATGACACAATTCACACTGCCAGAAATTTGGAAACAGCATGCTGTACTGCTTGGCATTTGTGCTGGAAGCTGCAATACAAACATTTCAGAGTGTTTGGCTGTCAATCTGAGGACAGTGCAGAGGATTTGGAAAGAATCGAATGAGTCTAATGGTGATTACAAAAGTACAGCAGTTTAGAAAACTCATTCTGATGAAAAAAAAACACCCAGATTTGTTGGTGAGGGCATCAGACTCAACAATGAGACCTACATCAAGTGCCTTGAGAAGGTAGTGCTACCCTGGGTGAAGAGGGTGGCTGCTGAAAGACCCTATGTCTGGCAACAGGACTTTGCACTATGCCACACAAGCAAGAGAACCCAGTCATGGCTGTCAGACAATTACTGCAATCATATCGCTCCTTTCATCTGGCCACCTAACTCCCCAGACAGCAACCACTTTGTGGGGTCTGCACCCCACAATGTGGTTGCAGTCTGGTTGAGCAAGAGACCAACAAAACTCCTTCTAACACCAAAGATGAACTGAAGGCAAGAATTAACTTAAACAAGGAGACCATCCAGAACTGTTGCAGGAAATTCTGAAATCCTCTGAAGACTGAGGTTGAAGCCAATGGCGTTTTTATTAAATAAATTTACTCTTTAGTATTGTAATGAGTTGGTCGGTCAACTTGACACCCCCAAAGTGAGGGGAGGTGAGCAGGTGCAGGAACTGTGATTGGTAGCTAGCTTGTTGGTGTTTTGCATAGGTGAGTTACCAAGCTCTATGTAAAGAGCTGGAATGAGAAGGAGGGCAGTTTTTTTTCAGTCTCAGAAGTGGAGACTGTGTCCGTCGCTACGACAGCAGGAGAGAAAGAGACAAAATCATTTATTTTTTCGTGACACATTCCAACACAAGCTATTTCGGCATTTACTTTGTCTCTAACAAGATGGCGGAAAGACCGTTCGACTGATCTCCGAATTCAGTGGTGATATGAGTGGACAGTCTGTGGTTGAATGGATCGAAAAGGTGGAACTGGTCTGCGAATTATGCGAGATCGCAAAGATTGAAAGGATTCTTCCACTGCGATTGAAAGGCGGTGCCCTTGCTGTGTATAGGGAGCTGAGCAAAGAACAGAAAGGTGACATTGAACAAATAAAGTGCGCTCTAGTAACCGCATTTGGAACTGACCAGTTTGTGGCCTATGACCAATTCCAGGCGCGGCGTCTACGACCTGGCGAGACAGTAGACGTATATTTGGCGGAATTAAAGAAGCTCGCCGTACCGATCGCACCGCTTCCTGAAGAATGGATGACCTGTGCCTTCGTGTCTGGATTGCCTAGTCATGATAGTCAGATACTCCATGCATCATCCAGAATGGAAGACATGATGCTCAATCAATTGTTGACCAGAGCCCATGCTATCATGATCGACGAAAAAGAGGCTGATGAACCAGTGGCCGCAGTTGTTCAGCCAATTGAAGTCAAAGAGGATCTGACCCCAGCCATCCGTCGCCATGGCAATGTCACCTGCTATCGGTGCTCTGGGCCGAATCATTTTGCCAAAGACTGCCGCTATCAATGCAAAGCAATGCGCAGCGGGTCGGCACGAAAGGCACGTTTCGATCTACGATGTTTCCAATGTCATAAAGTAGGTCACATTGCCTCTAAGTGTCCGGGAAATAGAATGGGGGATGCGACGTCAGCCGGTCTCTTCTCCACACCGAGCATGAAAGAGGCGCTCCTTGTGATTAAGGTGCGCATCAATGGAATAATGCGTACCGCTTTAGTAGATTCGGGCTGCTCTCGATCACTCACGAACGGTTCGATTTGTTGACAGTGGAGCAGACAAAAGATGGATGTACTAATGGCTGATGGAAAAGCTCTCAGAAGCCGGGGAGTTGGAAACATCAAACTCACTATCAACAATGGTAACCCCGTTACAGTCAGCGTGTTGGTTGTGGACAGTGTGTTATTAGGTTTTGATCTGCTTCTTGGGATGGACATTATTAAGGAGCTGGGCGGCATGCGCATCACAGAGGTGGGCGAAGTCAAATTTTCTGATCCGCCCATCTGTGCTGCATGAGGATTAACGAACCTGACTTCAGTGCAACTTTCGACCAGCGCAGACACATATGGACCGCAATGTGGAAGTGGGCGGGTGGACGAACGCCCACGCTACTGAAAAATAAAATAGCCGAGTACCCGGTTCCAGAGCATATCAGGAGCGAATACAAAAATGAATTGCAGCTTTGGATAGCAAACAGCTGGCTTGCGCCGTACCCCGAGGAGGAGTTAGGGCCGCCTCGAGGACTGATTCCGTTGATGGCAATAGTGCAAGAGAATAAGAAGAAAGTGAGACCGGTCATGGACTACAGGGAATTGAATACCTTTGTAGATGCATATACAGCCAACACGGACATTTGTGCCCAGAAATTGCGGGAATGGCGACAGCAAGGGAGCAATGTGGCCACCCTCGATTTAAGAAGGGCCTAACTCCAAGTCCGAGTCCACTGATCACTCTGGCCCTTTCAGACTGTCATGGTAAAAGGACAGAGATATTGCCTCACTCGATTGGGATTTGGTCTTAATGTGGCTCCAAAAATCATGTCAGTGATTATGAATGTGGTCATGTCGCAGGATGAGGAAATTCAAAGGGCAACGTCATCCTACATTGACGATGTTTACGTCAATGAAAACATGGCCTCTTCAACGAGGGTTAAAGAACATCTGGAGCGCTTTGGCTTGGTGTGCAAGGCCCCAGAGCCGCTACAGGATGGAGCGAATGTACTTGGACTACACGTCAGTAGTAATGGAGAAAAACTTTGCTGGAGGCGAGATAGTGACGTCCTGGAAGTCCCGCCCATGATCACTCGTTGGAGTACCTTCCCCATGTGTGGGAAACTAGTAGGCCATTTTCCCGTATGCGGTTGGCTCAGAGTGGCAGCAGCAGCCATAAAGTGCCGCATAACTTCTGTTTCGTCAGGATGGGATGATGAGGTGCACGACGTTACCCTAAGATGCATGATAACTGAAACTATGGAGAGAGTGATGCAAGACAATCCCGTGCGAGGTGACTGGTGCATTAAGGGGAACGAGCTCACCGTTTGGGTGGATGCCAGCTCGTTGGCCATGGGTGTCACCCTTGAGGATAACGGGTCCATCATAGAAGATGCCTGCTGGTTACAACCTGAAAATGATGCACGACACATAAACCTAGCTGATCTAGATGCCACTCTGAAGGGGGTTAACCTGGCACTCCAATGGCAAGCAAGTGCTACACATCGTCACGGACTCAGCATGCACTCAGCGTTGGATATCAGATGCACTTAGTGGAAGAGCGAGACTGACCACCAAGGCATTGAGCAAGATGTTGATACAAAGGCGGCTCACCACGCTGATTGAAATTATCAAAGAGTACAACCTGTCTGTGGATGTAGTGTTAGTTAAATCGGTAGTCAACAGAGCAGATGCATTGACTCGCGTTCCGCAACGTTGGTTGGCTGCTGCTCGGAAAGAGTCTGAACCTCTGCAGCTGCCGTGTATGGCTTCTGCGCTCAGTATGGACCTCAAGCAGATCATGAGCATACATGAACAGTGTGGGCATCCTGGGATTAAACGGACACTCTACTTCTCGCAGTTCTTAAAGAAGTGGGGGGGTGGCTTCAGTTCCAGTGCGCCTACGTGCCAGCAGGAAACGGCATAGTAGAAAGAAACCACCGGTCTATAAAAGTGATTGCAGCCAGGAAGCGATGTTCGATCCCCGAAGCAGTCTATTGGTATAATGTGACACCTAAAGACGGTGTTTCGCCTACAACAGCACCGGCTAACATGGTGCACGCCTATCACTTATGGCTGCGAGGCATTGACATTGCAATGGCTTCGAGCGACGCATAAGCTAAATACAGAATTGGTGACGTAGTGTAGGTTAAGACCCCGCACAGCAAGTGTATGGACAAGCTTAGAATGGGGCATGTTACCGAGATTATCAGCCCGCAGTCAGTGCGGGTTGATGGCGTGCCTCGTCATGTTAAAGACTTGCGGCCAGTTGTAGGATTAAAACCATCATCAGATGATGAAAGTGACTCTGAAGATGGTGCGCAAGTGCTGTATTTAAAGTCAGATCCACTGAGTTCTACCTCAAACATCAGTACTCTACCTACGGACGTCAACATGGCCAGCTGTCCAGAGACAGATGGTAGCTCAACGGATGAGAGTTCATCCGAGGATGAGGACCCTGTCATCCCGGTCAGAAGGAGTGCCCAGCAGAAGAGGCCTGCCCCGAGTTGCACAGTGTGCGATCATGACAGCGAGACATGGGATGAATCTGGAAATCTGCCACCTCGGAGCAAATGAGTTCGCGCATATGTGGTTATCCCAATATGTCAAGCATGCAAGTTGTATATATGCGGACGCAGTCACCAGACAGACGCAACCATCTCTCGAACTGAGAAGCTTTGTGATCTTAAGATCAGGGGGGCGTGTAATGAGTTGGTCGGTCAACTTGACACCCCCAAAGTGAGTGGAGGTGGGTATGCGCGGGAACTGTGATTGGTATCTGGCTTGTTGGTGTTTTGCATAGGTGAGTTACCAAGCTCTATGTAAAGGGCTGGAATGAGAAGGAGGGCAGTTTTTTTTTCAGTCTCAGAAGTGGAGACTGTGTCCGTCGCTACAACAGCAGGAGAGAAAGAGACGAAATCATTTATTTTCTCATGACACATTCCAACACAAGTATTTCAAGATATTTTTGTGTAATTTTGGTAAATATATCTGTTAAAATGAGTTGTCAGTGTTATTTTCATTTTTGCTTAATTTAGATGGCAATTTATCCATCACACCCTATATTTCCTTATAAAATAAATAAAATTATTGTTTGTATATTTTTGGAAGGAAATTAGTGTATATATAAGTACTCACAAATTATGACCTTTACACAAATTAATGAGGAGAAAGAGAAAAGAACTTTGTTTTTAATATTTGTTTTACTTTTGAAATAAAGACTTATTTCTGTATTTGATTTTCTCATTTATATATAAGATTAACAGTCTCAAAATTCAAACAAATTAGGTTTTCTGAGCTATATGATCATCCTACACTTTCAGTTGTTCGTTTTCATCCAGATTATTATAAAAATATAGCATGTAATGACTTAAAAATGGATATTGCTCAATATTTGTAGAATTAAAAATAACATTAATTTAAAAAACTTCAGAGTAAAAAAGAATTTATGTATAAACAGAAATTTTCTTTTTTTAACTTTTGATTTTCTTTTTTTAACTTTTGATTTTCTTTTTTTAACTTTTGATTTTCTTTTTGTTATTTTCTTATGTGTTTTTTTATGGTTCTAATACTTTCTGATGTTCTAATTATATATTTGAGTATCCTTTACATCCCCAATATATAATACAAAAGAGATTTTTCATATGTATAGTAGAAACTATCATATTTAGAGAGATAGCAATTAGCAGCAGATAAATAAAAAGATAAAAGATTTTAATAAATAATAAGTGTGGAGAAATATCAAATTAGAAAGAAAGAAACGCATTGTCATGTAAAAAAAATCAAAATAAATATTATTAAAGTATGAGCAAATAAAATGAATGCAAATTTTCATTTTCTTAATAACCATAAATATATTTTTGATACTTTTTAATAATACTCTTATTATTAATATAAAATGAAATAAATCATTTCTAACCGAAAGTTGGCAAAATAATATTACTGTAATTACTGTAACTTTTAGAAATACAATCTTCTGATGGTGTTTTTTTTTTAATATTATTATTATTTTTCAACCACAAGTTTTTGATTTTCAGATACATTACATTTTGTTTTCAAAATTTGTTTTAAAATCCTGCAATCAAGATCTATTTTTTCTCGAAAATAATTCTAAGTAAGATGAATGGGTAAATTTTTTTTTTATTTTAATTATTCTTTCGGAAACGTAAAGTTAACAACATGCACACAATACACTTGGGAAAGGTATGAATCCTCATCTTCTCCTCCCAGCTATTGGTAAATAGCAGGACAGACTGGGTTTTATAGCCTTGGATGGCAACTGGTCTACCGCAGAAAGAAATGGCAACCTACTGCAGAAAAAATCTGCCTCGTCAGTCATGTATCGAAAGATACATGATCGCCTAAGCGTGTATCACGTATGGCACATAACTGACTGAATCTTTGACAGTAAATCATGGAGGCATTTTTAAAGGGAGACAACCCATATGTCTTGCAATTAACAAATATGTTGGTTTGTTTCCCTTCGATTTGATTCGTGTGGAGAAAATTGCGGTAGACCAGTTGCCATCCAAGGCTATAGAACCCGGTCTGTCCTGTAATTTACTCATAGCTGGGGGAGAAGAAGAGGATTCATACCTTTCCCAAGAGTATTAACATGTAAGTGAATGTAATGGATTCAAGTTCTTTTACAAATTTTTTTTGCAAAATTTAATTTGGTTTGAGTTATTATTAGCATAATTTTAAATATAAATATTTATTTTAAGATTTCTAAACTAAAAATATATATCTTTGACAACAAAGAAAACACTAAAAACTTTCAAGTTTGTCAGGAGAATAAAGGATATAGCTCATCATTTTGTAAAAAAAAAAATTGTTCAACCTGGAAAATACATCAAACGCTTGGGTTGAGTAGTGAGAAAAAGGTTCAGTGGAAGAGACAAGTGACATCACAAAGACAAATTAATTAGGAAGAATTATCTGATATGCAATAACTTCTAACAAAATGAGAACAATCTACCTCTATTAATTGAATAAAGGATTCAGTTCAAAATTTGTGAAAGGTTATCACTTACAACAGACACCTGAAGAAGGCAGGAGAATAAAATGGCAAAACATTATGATGATAGCAACAAAGATGAGGACACTAGTGTTTATTTGCCTTATAAAAAGCTGATAAGCTCAAAAATTAAAATGATTTTTGCATAAAATTATGCAGTTTATTAGTAATATGCTTTAATATTAAATTTGTTGATAAATAAACCAAAATAATGTTATATTACTTGTTTAATTGTTAGTATTTTTTATCTACAGCTGTGCAATGAAAGTCACGGACAAATTTGAAAAATACCGAGGTGGCATATACCATGAATACAGCCATTTACCATATGTATGACTTTCGTTTTTATTGAAATATTTTTTTCTGTTTCCTTCATTTAATTAGACATTTGCCTTTCTATTTTTACTTAGTGTACATATATATATGTGTATATATTTTTTAAATGATTTAGTCCATTATTGTTGTAATTATGTCTGCATATTTATCAAGGGCAATACTCATTACTAAATTACTACAGGAAATCTTTTCTACCACTTTGTTTGACTAAAATTGAAATTTAATTTTAATGTTATTAACCATAAATTGAGGATAGCATAAATTTCAATAATTGCATTTCTATGGTTAAACTGCAAAATGCAGAAATTGCTGATGCAGTTAATGGATTAAGTATATTTGTATATTTAAAAATGAAATAGGAATATTAAAAGAGATAAATTTCAAGACAATATCCCTAATAGCTTCTGATATAGATTTGACTGAAAATTTTACTATAGACATTACAACAAGCAAGGCAATAAAGCTACTAAGATGCAAGGGGTTACTGAGTGCAAGAGAATATGACAAAAAGAAAACATTAAGAGAGAACAATAAATGAACATGAATGAAGAAGACAAAAGATAACAATTGACATTAATCTTCAAAAATTTAATAGCAAATTTGACTGGAAAGCAAGAAGCTGGAAGATATAGTTCTACAAGTGAGAAGCATGAGAGAAAAGAAACTGCTAGCATAGAACTTATGGTTACATCTCACCATTTCAACTGTAAGATGATGAGACCTTGCAGCCAATCTTAAATTCATAAAGTTTAGGTACTGAAGATGAAAGATCATCAACACAATTACAATGAAAATATTTATAGGAAAGGCACAGAAGTTACATTATGATGGTGGGAGGCAACTGAAGCTGAGATGCCAGGTCAAGACCCATAACATTGCAGATTCTTCTTTGTATTTTATCAAGAATCTTTAAATACATAGCAGAAGCACTAGACCAGATGTGACAGCAATATTTAATGCAAGGATAAATTGTAGACTTATAAATGTGATAAATAAGAATCAACTTTCCTAGGAGCAGACATAGCAATGGATTCAATATAATCTTTCCACTTCATGTCAGCAGAAAACCAAGAAGTTAGCATCAGCCATGTTGATAGAAGGCAAAAAAAGGTTCTCTTAGTTGATTACAAGAGAGCAGTTTTGTTTTGAAGTCATTAAAATTAATAAGCCAATTCCTGCCCTAGTTAACAACAGATTGTAGGTCATTTTTGAGCTCAGCTGCCAATTTGATATTAAGAGAGGAGGAAATAATATTACTATGGAATTGATTCTTGGTACTCATACTTTTGCCAAAACTAAGCTATTTCTATGGGAAATATGTGATTTACAACAACCATAATATTGTTAAGTTTAGAAGGAAAATGCAAAAGCATAAATTTAACTGATTTGTTATTGTAAAACTTTCTTTTAAATCTTTCTTTTTGTTCAGAAATACAGATAAAGTTGTATGCATGGATGACTCTTTTAAGGTAGTGGTTCCAAAAACAATGCGTCACACCTCATAAGTGCAGCAGAAGTGGATAGCAGGAGAGGCAGAATGGTTGAAAGACAATCAAAGATTTAGAAATAGTTCCAAAAATTTCATATGACAAAAATGAATATGATTTCAAAATTTTAAATATTATTATGGATTACATGTAATTGCATGTATGAGTCCCAGTATAAATAGTTGTACATAATTATTGGCTGATTTTATCATTGTGATATTTTTGCATTATATCAAGTATTAAGAATATAATAACTAGGATCTGCAAATTGGAGGAGAAAGTTATCAATGATAATGTTCTGACTTCAAACCCACAGTCTAACCCTCTCTCTTCTTTTTTTAAGTGTACTTTTTACCACATAAAATTTGGATAGGGACAAGCAAATTTTAATTCCGAAAATGCTGCCCAGAGAAAAAAAAAGTTTGGGAACCACTGCTTTAAGGATTTAAAAAAAATTTGATAATGGTGGCTAATAACAGATTCAATAATTTTCATTGATAAATTATATGTAGTTAAAAAAGTTTTCAGAGGAATTTTATTGCTGTTATCTTTGTGTTTTTAAAATATCAACATTCAAATATTTTATCTACTTTTTAAAAATTCTGTAATTTTCTTTCTATTTGATTTTATTTTTCTATTTTGTATTTTCTGATGTGTCTGATAATTTTACTTTTACCATTTCTTTCTTTCAGCTGAATCATATAATTTCCATTGCTGGTTGGGGTGTTGATAAAAAGACTGGTGTTGAATATTGGATTGGACGAAATTCTTGGGGAACATTTTGGGTTTGTGTTTATATTTATTGTAAAGGTTGTTATTCTTATACATGCATATATACATAGATGACATCCACTTACTGTATCCCCAAGATATTAAACATAATAACAAAACTTCTATAAGGTTGAACCCACCACTGAATTCACACACAAACTTGAAACAATCAATTCTCTACCATTCCTCAACATCTTATTAATACACAACAATGATAAATTAGATTTTAAAGCATACTGAAAACCTACAAACAAAAACAACCTAATCAATTTCTGTTCCCACCATAACTAAAGAATAAAATTTGGGCTAATCATAGGATTTTACCTCAGTGCCCTGAGGATATGTAGCCCTGGATACCTAAATGAAGAAAAGGAATATATTGAGAAAACATTCCAACTTCTCCACTGCCCACACCATTTCATCCTCAATGCAAAAAACAAAAAAAACAAAAACAAGCTCACAAAATCCATATAGCCAAAAATCAGATACTTCCAAAAATTATACAAAATTCATAATCTTGCCCACTAACATCCTTTCAACTAAACTCACAAATGAATTAGCCCTCCCTAACACTAGGATCATTACCACCACCTCCAAGACAATCAAGGATATAAACAGGAAGAAAAATAAACCAAACACCATTTCAAATTCTGAAATTTATCAGAGAAAGTGTTTATAGTGCAAAAACATCATGTGATCTGAAAACCCATGTCTACGAACACAAGAGAGATTTGTGTTTAGACAGACATTCTCTCTCATCTTACATCGAAACAACATGGGACATAAATTTGATTTCATTAATGCCAGCCTAATTAAAAAAGAACATAGCCCTCTAAGGAGAAAATATTATGAAAACATATTATAGCATTACTAACAACAATAAACACTCACTTAAAACATCTTTCTACAGATCCATTTTTCATAAATCTAACTTATATCTATCTAATACATAAAATAATGAGAATTTACAAATCCTTTTCAAAAATACGCATGAGAAATGCTTTAATGATAAATCCAATCAAAACATGATTATTACAATATCTTTTCACTGAGCCACACAGAGGTGACAACAACAGACATTCCCTACACACACACATACACAAGAATATAAAAATCCAACCAAATACAATATTATTGCAACATTTCACCAACATATACAAGGGTGAGATCCATAAACATTCCCCACACACACACATACACACAAATTAACATTATTGTCCAGTATACAATTAGACAGACAAGCTTTTCTTTACATACACACTTAATGTCCAAAATGTTCCTCACACATATTTTATATATTATCTATTGTGTTAATACACATGACACACATTTGACCAATAAGAACTAACCAAAAATCATAACATACCAGTACTCTGTGTTTCTTTGCTTTTTTCATTTTTATCTCAATCTCTGATGAAGCTTTAATAAAAGTGAAACATGCCCTACTTGTAGTCTACCCCAGGGAGCAAAATAAAGGGTTCAGTTTGACATTCCAACCACCTGAAGAAGGCCGGAGCGTACAACAGCCGAAAAGTTGTAATAAATATGGCGACATGAGGACAATAGTCCGAATAATGTAAATAATATATATATATATATATAAGTGATGGATTTTTATTTATTAGTCCAACAGATTTCATCACATAAACATTATTTCAAGTGGATACCCATATTTGAGTAGATGCTTCATTTATTTATTAAACAGTATATTTATTTATTTTCATCTACTGGCCTGAATGTTTGAGAAATCTCATTAAAGAAAAATATGTGCTCTCTGGCAGGATTTGAAATGTGCATCCCCCTTGGCAGGAGAAACCATCATTAGTTCCAATATGCTTTCGACTAACTTGGCCATGGAATGCATCATTGGTCAAACAAAGTTAAATAATCCTTATAAATGATAGTTTCTCCTGCCAAATGGGATGCAGTAGGTTCAAATCCTGCCAGAGGACATATTTTTGTTCGAAAAAAAGATGAAATTTGATGAAATATTTAGTCACAACAATGACTGCTATAGTAATTATTAATTCTATAAAATCAGTCTCAATTTTCTTTTTTATTATTTGCAGGGAGAAAATGGATGGTTCCGGATCGTAACAAGTACCTACAAAAACGACACTTATAATTATAATCTTTTCATTGAAAAGACCTGTGGTTATGGAGATCCAATCATTCCTTAAATTTACAAAATTTGTAATTCATATCCCATCTCTTAATTCATAAACTTTCAAATACTCTTGATGTTTCATTTTTTAAATTTATAATACTCAATTTTTACTCATAAATCTTTTAACTCTTTGACAAAACATTTTTTTATGTCAATAAGGCTGGGATATTTTTTTAATGTATCAAAACCCTTGCATTTAAACTTTAATTATGTATATTTTTAAATTGTTTCTTTTTAAGGAAGAGCTAGATAAAGTGAACCTTTTGATAACGATTCTCTCTTTTATCATACATTTATTATAATGTTTATTTTAATCTCATACAAAAGTCATTTTTTTTATATTGTATATCAATAACTCTAAATAAAGTCTAAATAAAGTAAAATGTATATACTTTACAGCAGTATACTTTGTTCTGAATTACATCCATTGTTTTAAAAGGAAATTGTAATATCAATTTCATTGTTTTTATTATTTCTCTCATAAATGTAAAACCATATGGAAAACAGCTAAAAGCAACTTTGGTGATTTTGTGTCTCATAACATAAAAAAACAGAAAAGATCAAATTTGGGAAGATTGAATTTAGTTTTATCATCCATCCTTGTATAATTTCTTTTTTAATTTTTATTTTATTCATCATCATCATCATCATCATCAGTCTCTTGATGCCTCAATTGAAAGTTGGGGGCGGGACTTAAGGGTAGAAGAAACTGACAACTTCCTCCAGGATGATCTGTTGTCATGTCCATCCACTCTTTGATGTTGCTTGACCAGCTTTTTTGTTGCTGTCCCTGTTTGCATCCATCTTCAACAGTGCCTTGCATAATGATCTTACAAGAGGCTATTTTGATGTCGGCAAACCATGACATCTTCTAACACTTAGTAGCAAGGAGAGATTCCTATTGGCTCACAAGACTTTTGACTTTGCTCCATACATAGTCATTGATTTTTGTGCTGCCAGTAGGAGATGTGAAGGAGCTTTCTCAAGCATTTGTTCTCAAATACCTGGATATTTTTCCTGCCTCAACCAGGAGTGTCCAAGTCTTTTAAATAAAATAATTTTATTAGGAATTTTCATGATTTATATTAATATTTTAACAATGTTTAATCTTCATGCATGGAAAAAAAAATGATGTGTCAAAAGGACAGTTCTTCCCTTGACACTGTTATTACTGTATATATTTTTACCTCCCTTTGCAATGTTTCTTTACAAGATTATAAAAATAGGTGAACCAAGTATAATGCAATATTATTTACCTTTTATAAATAAATTTGAAAAGCCATATTTTTATTCAAAAAATTTATAAAAAATTACAAAATGTATAATAGGAAGAGATACTCTCAAACTATTTTAGTAAATTTATGTGGCAAGAGCAAATAAAAAAAATACCTGAAAAATGGATTATTTCAAAATTTATAATTATAACTCATTGGTAAGTGTTAATAAATATTTTCTTGTTCAGATATTTTTATAAATAAAAAAATTATTTTTGTATTTATTTCTTTATAAAATGGTAAATAATAAATATTTCATTGGTTGGTTCAGTAGACTTAAAGCCTGAAAAACAAATTTTAAATAATTTAAATGCCTTTTTTAAACTTAAATTTCAGTTCTATTTGAAAGATAATGGCCTAAAGCTTATTTGCATGAAAAGAAAAATGAATTTCCATGTATAAATTAAATTTTAGGCTTTTTTTTTCCATGTATAAATTAAATTTTAGGCTTTTTTTTTTTTCATCACTCATCGAGCTGCCACTGTATACAAAAAATGTAAACAACAAATTTAAATTCTCTTTAAAATTCAATATTTGTTCTAGGGATGTGTTTCAAAGTTTGTTAGTAATTTTAAGGATTAATTAACTGGATTTTTAAAAGTAATGCTTACCTTTTACTTAAAACAAAATGAAAATAATGTTTTATTTACACATGCTAGTCTATGAGGTCAAAGGACAAGGTAGAAAGACTGTAATTCTACCCCTGTCCAAAAAAGCATGGGAGAAAAAGTAAAAATAAAAACTAAAGTAAAGTCTGGCAGTGTAATAATCAATAATTTGTTATCCATGTTTAAAATTAACATTTTTTAATCATATAACCAATAGTTTAAGAATATCATTTTTTATTCTATACAATTTTATTAAAACCTTAGTGTTATGAATAATTTTATTTTTTATACTGAGACATGAAATTAGATTAACATCATAATACTCCTCTAATATTGATTAAACATATTTTTATTTAATAAAATAAACTCTTGTGACAAACAACAACAGGTTTAATTTCAAAATTGCACTGAAAAATGACAATTTTTTTTTAAATAAATATTAAGTTTACATTTTTTCTGTCAAATCTGAAAGAAAATAACATGTTTTATTAAATTATGCAAACACCAAATTTTTAAAGAAAGAATTTTTTTGAGTTTTATTGAATTGTTTTTGGGAAAAATGCAGGCCGAATATTCCATATGTTCACACTCAATATTGCATAAACTTTTTTACTGAAATAATATCTTCAGGGATTTCTTTTTATATAACCGTAAAAGATTTGGATACCCCTGACCAAAAAAAAAATATTAAAAAGTACACATCCGATATCAAAAAGTGGGTGTGGAACATACCCCTCAAAAATATATCTCCAAAGCTTTTAACTAAAATAACCGATTCAGTAAAATATTCATTCATTAATGAATAAATCCTGAAAACTTCCTTGAATCAAATAATTCCCTGATTTTTTTGCAAATATTTTAAAATTGGGGTGTGTGAATTTTTTGCTTTCATTGTGGAAAAAAGTATTCATTTTGGTGGTACTTATGGTTCACATATTTTTTTATAATCTTGGAAATATAAAATTATTCCTGTAAATAGCAATCTAATAAATAATGTTTAATATCTTTGTTGTCAATACTCAAGAATAAAGAAAATATATAAATCTACTTTTATATGTTTGGGTGTCATTAAAATTCTAATCATCACTTTTTAAACCAAACATTGCAAGGAAGTTAAAAGTGTATACAATAATAGTAGTGTCAAAAGAATAACTATCCTTTTGACACACTGTCTTTTTGCAGGCATGAAGATTAAACATTGCCAATATTTTTTAAGGAAGCTTAGTCATTATTTGTGGATATTTGATTGTTACTGTAGTTATATTCTACATTCTAATAGCAAAACAATGCTAAGATTTTTTTTATTTTTATGGTCTACATTTTAGCAATTATTTCTGTCTTTAAGAAATAAAAGTTATATTTATTAAGAAAGTTAATCTCATTCTAAACTGAAAACACCTACAATTTTTAAACCAATACAAATTTATAGCCAATCATGCATAGCTTATAAATCAATATTCACAATTCTGGCCCCAATCCCCCACTTGTAGGAAATGCATAACTATCTTACTTCTCGATCGACACTAAAAGCATTCTAAAAAAAAAAAAAAAAAATGTCCAGGTACTAAAATATTCAATGGGATAAATATTAATATTCCACCATGAAAATATATGTTATTTCAATATTAAAAGCTGTCTGAGAAGTAGAAAGATATTAAAGATGCTTTTAATGTTGAAATAAAATATATTTTCATTGTGGAATATTGAAATTTGAGATACTTTTTTTCATTAAATGTTAATATTTAGCATATTTCAGTACTTAGACATTGGAATTTAATAATTTTTAATGCCTGAACTGGTCCAAGCAGCTTTCAGTGTCAGTGAACAACTATATGTTGTAATATTTTAATAGATTTATAGTGCTTTCAATCATTTCTCTGATTTTAATGCTTCATGCTTTTTTTTAATTATTTTAACATTTATAAGCATTCATATTAATGATTGAAAACTTGGTAATGAAAATTTAGAAAAATATGTTATATTTTTCTCATATTGTATTTTTTTAATGTTTTACAACAAAACATTTTAAAATTGATAAATATGTCTCCTAGTACTTTTGGTTCCAAATCTTCACTTCTCCCTAATCCAATTGTGGATATCTTGGTATAAGAAAGCATTTATTTTATATATATATATATATATATATATATAGTGGGGGAAACAAATATTTTTAGCATCCTGATACCACTTTCTTATCAATGTTGAATTTTGTACAAATCTGTGCAAAAAGTGGATCAAAGAACTAACCCAGCTTCATACATATTTTCAGGAAATATCAACTTCTAATTGGTTAATAAACACACAAGTGGACATTGCAATCCACCCTTGTACAAGTCTTTTTCCAGCACATGACCAAGTCAAGTTTTCCCACTCTTTTTCCAGGAGCCTACCATGTGATTAAATTAATTATAAATACCAGACACGAGTTTGTTTTCTTTCTCTTTTATTTCATTTGCCTACGAAAATGTAACCTTAAAGGAAACTGTGTTGCAACTCCATTGCAGTTGAACGCTAGAAACATATTCACACATGCACATATGTACAAAACCTTACAAACTACATTACAAACATATGAAACATTTCCAAATGAACAACAAGAACTTTTCTCTTTAAAATACTGTGATCAAGCTTTCGCACACATCATTACAAAACAAAATTGTAATATTCTGCACATAAAAAAATATACTTGTTGTTCCAAACATATCCTTTTTTGTCGTAATTGAAAATCGTTATCATTTGATTTTTTTTACTTAAATTTATGTTTGTGGATGTTGCGTATTTCATTTACAGCAAAACATTTAAAACATTCACGCAACCTTCTTAGTCCACTACATATTCATACACACACAAATCTTTAATTTATTGTATTTCCAATTAATGACTAAACATACTTTTCATATAATTAACTGCACACTGATGTATAATAGCTAAATATGTATAGAAAACAGAGAAATTTCTGATTTAATAGAAATAAATCCCATTTATCCATTTTAATGGGTGAAAAAAGTATTTGTACAATGCAAATTTCAGATTTTAAAACTGCTTTAATAGAATCAGTAGTTATTTATAGCCTAAAAACTACAAACAGAATATTCTGTAATTGATATTTGTGCAAGGTTATCATAATGGCA